CTCCACCGTCTCCATCTCCGGTCATCTCCACCGTCTCTATCTCCGATCACTGGCAGATCCGATGGTGGAGCAACCTCCACCGTCTCTATCTCCGATCACTGGCAGATCCGATGGTGGAGCAACCTCCACTGTCTCTATCTCCGATCACTGGCAGATCCGATGGTGGAGCAACCTCCACCGCCCCTGACCTCTTCTTCAGCAGCACAACTACTCCCAGCCAGCTTCGGTTTTGTGGTCTCAGAAGAGAAGCATTTTCTGGATGCAAGCATTTTCTGGTGTTGGAATTGTGCTTCCCTGGAACAATTTTGGATTTAATCAATTTTGGAATTGCCYTTGTTGATTGCTCTTTCCAGTGCTTCTGTTATGCCCCTTCTTTGTTTGGAGATTTTGGATTTAATCATTCTTGTACTTAAATCATACCAGGGTTATAATGGTAATTTGTTGTCATTCAGATAACAGTTACCAAACAACATTATTTCATTCAGCATTTAACCATTCTGACCCTTTTAACCATTCTGACCTCTTAACTATTCTGCACTAAATCATTCAGCAACTGCCAAACAGCCCCTTAGCTTATCAACCTGGATAGTGTTTGGAGACACCTTTGATAATAGATGTTAAATAAACTGATTTTTATTTTATGTTTTAATAATTTCAATATCATCAATAAATACATAATTATTAAAATAAATATAATAACTATTTATAGCTTTTAAATGTTGAATAATAATTACCTGTTATTTTAAATAAATAAATAAATAAATGTGATTGGGTCTATACCACTTTAATCCTAATAAACAATTGACTATTTAATTATTTGAATGAGAATAATTATATTTAATAAAAAAGAAATTGTATTGTAGTTTATTTGATTTTCGTTGGTTGGTCTAATGCTGGAGACAGCCTGTCAGCAACAAAGTTCCACTCTCTCTCTCTCTATGCCTGAGAGTCCTTCTCCCCTTACCTTACGTTCTCTCTCTCTCTCTCTCTCTCCCTCTCTCCTAGGTTTTTCATTTTCCCCTTTTTCTATTTTCAATCTGGATTTAGCTCAAGGAGATCCGGAATTTCACGATTCCTTGTAAGTTATTTCGTCATTGATCTGCTTTTCTCTTTCGATTTCGCCAACCTGCTTCTTATTCTCTTTTTATCAACTTCAATTTCTTGTTTTTAGGTTCCTAAACTAAAATCTCTGTGTAATTTTTCATGATTACAGAGGCGTTCAACAAAAGGGTTGTTAGCTAGTTATATGTTTTCTTCTTTTGCTGCTTGCTGTCGGGTTTTCTTGTTCCAATTTCAGTTAATTTTGATTTTGAGTTTTGTACTTGTTGTTGAGGAGGTACTTTTGACTTGTAATTATGATTATAGTTAATGAACGCCTTCTTTTCATGTTTGGTTATGTTATGAATGCTTGATTTTACATGCATGTCTTTGCTTTCATGGATGCCAAAACTTTTGGGACTAATTTTAAGCAGGAGAAAGAGTCATCAAGTCGATGTGATAAGTACTGTGTCTGGGTAACTAAGTCCTTTAGTGTTTCCTTCTGTCGGTTTTTTTTTTTCTTTCAAAATCTGTTTTGGTCATAGTGAGAGGTGCTTACATTACATACTGAGGTCATTAGATGGCAGTTGGACGCCTGAGGGCTAGTTGGATAGCTGTTGATGGATCTTTGTTAGCGATAGATATATTGTAGAAATTTACTATTTGTTGACATTTATTTATTTTCTCTTTTCTGGTGAGAGTTTGGTTGGCTGTGTGGGAAGAGATTTCGCAGAAATGAAGTTAAGTCTAGAAACTCCTTGTGGTCAATGTATTTTAACAATATTAAATTATGTTTCAAATAAGTTGAATTGTACAGAATATTGTGGATATACTTTGGGGGTAGAATGTATATGGGTAAACACAATAGTTCTTTGTCACCCTTCAAGTTTGCTGAAGTGCTTCAGCAGGTTGGGAGGCAGTTCCCATTATTCCTAAAAGTTCTCTAACGTAGTTATGAGTTTTCTACAGTTTAGGATGTCCAGTTTAAGAAAATGTTGGCTGCACAGAGCATAAGAGGTTTTCAAATCCGATACCTTCTGGCCCGTCCGATGGAAGTTTTCTCTGGACTGGGCAGATTACCCCTTCCCTTTTTGCTTCATCTTGGAATTTGTAACAGTTGGTCAGGCTAGTACAGAGGTCAGGGATTTGGAAATTGAGCTCATCGGATAAAAGCCTGTAATGTGGATAGCTGGCTGCCATGGCCCGCCCAAACCAAAGTCATCAAGGCATAATCTTTTTTGACAAGTGGAAGATGGAGGAGCAGACAAGAAGAGCAAGTATGGTGAAAGCATACTCAGGTGCCAATCAAGAAAAGGTTTAGCCCGAAGTCAGCACCATATACTGCAAAAGAAGGTAGCTGCTACAGAATCCAGTTGATAACAGCATAGCAAGAAGCCCAAATTTTTGAGTTTGCTAGGCCTTTGCTTCATTTCTAGACACAATTTGCCAATAAGAAAAAGATCATGCCATGCATTTCCTGAACCAATTTCACATTCTTTTTGATCTACAGAAGGTGATTAATATTGCAATTCAGGTCAGCCAATAGGATTAACATCCCAAAAAACCATAATAAAGGAAGTAAGATGATACTGCTTGCTTCTGCATCATCCATAGAACAACAAATCTCCGGAATGTTCTCCCTTCTCAACAGGTGAAGCATCTGCATTCTGCAATCAATGCAAAAATTAGGTTCCAAAACTATACGTGATAAATCTGTTTGTATATTTAAAAAATGAAAGAATCAATTGCACTTTTGGTTGTCCTTTGCCTTCCTCCTCTTTGAGCATTTCCATGGGTTGAACTATTTTGGTGTCTAGTTTTTTATATTCAAGCTCCTGTATCATCTTGAGCCTTCCATTTTTCCATCTGATAAGAAGTACCAAGAATAACCCTAGATATATATACTAATTTATACTTTAAATAGTTTTAAAATGGGGTCAGGGTTTGAACTGTAATGAATGGAAATCCAGGGGTTCAAATTTGCCAATGCATGACTAAGAGGTAAGGGTGTGTAATCTTAGAGACCCTGCACAGCTGCATTCAGTTGCTTCGCCATAAGGAAGGGAAAGAAACCTTATTTTGATCAATTCCTTGAATCTGCCTTTCATTCTGGTTTTCACCCGCATAATTTTAACCCAGGCTATATTGTCTCACCCTCTGAAATCCTAGTCACTGTTGATAATTCTTTTCAGTATGTCCTAGTGAAGCATCTTTTGTGGGTGATGTTGGTTACATGTTATTTTTGTTGTGTCATTGTTGTATTACTTCTATAGGCTTCATGAGAAGATCATTCTTGTGCCTTATGTGGTACTTTAGAACAAATGGACTTAGTAACTTGTCACAAGTATAAATTTGGGATGGACATGAATCCCATTCTAGGCTTTATCTTAGTTCCTTTATCTCAAGACCGGTTTATGTACAAAAAAGAATTCAGACTTTGGTCTCTAAATAAGAAAGAGGCCTGCTCATTTTACTGCAGCTTTGCAACACAAGACAAGTGATAGCAGAATTTGTGATGTTGTTTGGCTCCTCGTATCAATGAGACAAGTTTCTTTTTTATCTCTTATGGATCACACTCTTCATTGCTATTTTAGAGCAGTCTGATAAGTAGTGATTTGTTAAGGAGAATTTTGATGTTTTTGAGCTACAAAACACCATAACACACTATATCCATGCTATCAATGTAGGTTTCCATTTAGATATGTTATTGCATCAAATTGCATTTCTATATTAAATAATGTGAGAGAAAAATGAATTTGGCATACTATTATTGTTAAAGAGTAAATTCTTACAAACATGCCCTTCACCTCATCTTTCCTAGATTATATGCACCGAGATTTTCGGGGAAAAGATGGTCCTTGAATCACCAAAAGGATTCAGGAGTGAGTGGGAATATGTTTGAATACTCCTATCTTCATTATTTAACAAACTTGAAATTCATTATGCTCATGTATTTCAAAATGGAGGTAGATGTTGCTATGGAACTGGTTATGTTATCTGCTGGTAACATGCTACATCAGGTCTTTTATTTTTATATTAGAAGTGGTTAAATTTATCATCTTATAGCTTTTCTGCTATAATTATTGGGGTTGTATAGGCTTCCGGAACTTAGTTCCAAGTCTAGTACCTGATAAATCTCTTTGCTTTTCCTTTCTTTCTTAAGTCAAGGTGCTTGTGTCTTTCTTCACACATCTGTATTTGTTTTCTTCTGTAGGTGGTTTAGTTGGCTAGCTACTGGGAATCATAGTAATATAGTCACTTGGAAGAATGTGGTAAACTTGCATTGAAGTTTCAGCAATTTTTAGGTGTTTGCTGTTCTCCAGAAAGAATTCTCTTTGCAACCGATTCCGAATTATATATGTGACGTGAAATTTAAGTTACCGGGGGCTTTGTGTATCCATGCTGTCAGAGAGCATGCGTGGAATCTATTTTTTGGGTAATGCCCCTGACGAGCGTAGTTGCTGATGCACTCGGTGTGGTTACAATTTCTCTAGTTGCTGTTTTGGGTCTTCTTGGTCTGCTCTGCATCTTGTACTCGTTATATTTTCGAGATCACATTCGTAGTCAAGGCTATACTCAACTTGGATATTTCAGTGGTCCGTGGGTTATTCGAATAGTTTTCATCTTGTTTGCAATCTGGTGGGGTCTTGGAGAGATTTTACGTCTAGAATTCTTGAGGCGTGACGGCCGGGTATTGCACGCTCTCGACCTAAGATGGCAGGAAACCGTATGCAAATGCTATATCGTATCAAACCTAGGATTTGCAGAACCGTGCCTATTCCTAACCCTCATTTTTCTTCTTCGTGCTTCTTTACAGAAGACGGAATCGGGGCCATTGAGCCAGAAATGGAACTTGAGAACAACAATTTACATTCTTCTATGTTCGTTGTCACTGTTTGCCCTTCAGATGACGGTTGTTTTAGTCGGACCTCAATACGAGACGGACTTGCACCTAAACAAAAAAGGGTACTTTTTCAAATTTACTACTAAGCACCCGAATGATGTTGCTCGCTGCTACTACCCTTTACTGAGTACCCTCTTTCTTGGTCTTTTCGCTACCGTGCTAACGCTTTATTTGTTCTGGCTCGGGAGGCGAATACTAATTCTGGTGATCAACAAGGGCTTGCAGAAGAGAGTGTACACATTGATATTCTTTGTTTCTAGTTTCTTTCCGTTACGGGTTCTGTTACTGGGTTTATCGGTTCTTTTCAAGCCGGGGGATACTGTGTTTGAGGTTCTAGCATTCTTGGCTTTTCTTTCTCTTTTATGTTGTGCTGGGGTCGGGATTTGTATGCTTGTTTACTTCCCGATTGCAGACTCTTTAGCATTGAAGAATCTGCAAGATATGGAAGCTACTAGAAGGATCATCGGGGAACATAACGACACTTTGTCGCTAATAGCTAACCGTAGCCGTCTTGATGATTTCAGTGGCGGAAACTCCATCGGTTCCACAAAACGGGGATCCATTTCTTTTCGGACAATGGAAAGAGATGAAAACCCAGGTGGATTTGTGGAGTTAAGCCTCTTTTCTCCTTCGACCCCAATAGGTTCGCCTCAGCAAGTTCACGGCTGGCCTATGATCCCGATTCCTTCTAGTTCGACCTCATGAACCATCTTGGAACTCATTTTTGTGGTAAAACAGTTTGTAAAGGTCTTTAGATTAAATAAGGATTGCTGTTTTTGGTTCTGTACCTTTTGTTTTCTTAATGTTGGCCTTGTTTTTTTCGGTGGAGCTGATCTGTATCTCATCATCATCATCATATTATACTTTTATAACTTGTACAATTTGGTCAATGCTTCGTATTCAAGTTAAAACCCTCGTTCACCTGAGCCTACTTGATCCATTGTTTGTTTGTTTATTCGTTATTTGTTTTAAAAGTAAAAGCATCAAAGACTGCTTTGTAATATATTTGTTATGTTTAACCAACTTTTCTTGCAGGCATCATCTTCTTGCTCGTTTCTGTAATTATGGTTGCTGTCCCGTTGGTGATTTTCCAGGTTTTCCATTTCCATTTCCATTTCCGTTGCCTTTGTTTGAATTGGATTGGTTTTCAGTTCCATCTAAAACCGACCGATCTAATTTGGATGTTGAAATTTTGATCTGGTCCGGTTCAATTACAATTTAATGTTCAATTATGATCGGTCGGTTCTGATTGAACCGGATAATTTGTGCACATTCATGCTACAAGTATGCATGATCTTATACCTAAATGATGGGGGTTGCAATGCTCAAGAGGAAAAACTGCAGCATTTTTCATGTGGGGTTGTCAATAAAAATGTACTAAGGAGCAGCCACGCACAATAGCCCCATTGGTTTAAAAACAAGACAAGAATTTAGTAAAGGTTTGTTTACCAGGTGTTTATCAGGTAAGCGTTTTACTTATCAGGTAACTTTTTCGGTCATCAAAATGGATTATTGGTAAGCGTCTTTTTCTCGGTAAGCTCTTATCGGGTAAGTCTTCTCCCTCATTTACCAGTTAAGATTCTTGATCCTTGCATACTCAACCTAATAAGGTAAGCGTTTGGTAGATAGGTTAATATCTTGCCAGATATTTAACCCCGGTGACGAAGGTCCCTCGCCAAACTTCTTTCGAAACTTGGCTTGTTTCCTTAGTCGTTTCGCGGTTTGTTCGATTTCTAGATTTATTGGTAAAGGTGAACCTGTACGTGACGATCTAGGCATAAACAGTTAGTAATATCGAGTCCCCTAAGCAATCAACTGAGTCAGCATTCATGTTTTCCCTCTGCTATCGCTCGATCGCCATCCATGGCCACGGATACGTTAGTCACGTTACTTGTATTTGTGGATGAGTGGTCTACGTTCTCTTTCGGGGGTATCCTTTGAATTGAAATCCTTGGTTAGTTGTTGTCGTGGAGGATCCAATCCCACGAGGCCACGACAATTGATGTGAGATGAGGACATAAAACATGTAGGGTAATGCTTTGAATTGAAATACCACATGTGTTTGTTATGGGCAATAAATGTGAGATGAGGACATAAAACATGTAGGGTAATGCCAGCCAATGCAATGAAAACTTTGGGACAAAAAGTACGTGTTGCATATTGTCATTTTCGGCTAAAACCAGATTTCAACATCTCAAAATGGCACAAGAACGTATCTTTTGAGATTTTGGTACAAAATGAACCAAAAAGCAACCACTGAAAATCGAACCAGACAAGGGCATCAAAAGGTGGTCAAATCTGATACTCCCTCCACTCGAATTAAATTAAATGTCTATATTTTTATTTTTATTTTTTTTGTCCAAAAATAAAAGGTTTGGTTCGTAGAATTCAATGGAATTTGATGGATATAAACTAAAACAATTGATTAAAGTCCCAACATCGATTTAATACCGGTTAAGATGTTAGTGCCTATCATCGATTCCAAAAATGTAAACGGAAAGGACAAGCCCGAATTGGCTTTAATCGTTAACAAGCTCTAGCGACTCACATTTTCCATAGATAATCGTTGATTACAATAAGCTTTCTAATAAACCTTTAACCACAAATACAAGTTTAAATAAGCTCTTAAACTCGTAGGTGCGACTAGGTTTATTGGACTAGAAAAAGTATCAATTCAAAGCCATAAGCTCATAAGTTCGGCTTATCGAGGCTTTAATCGCAAGATTTTTAATATTCAATCCGGAAACCTTATCGAAACCAAATGAATACTAGCGTTACTCTATCAAAAATTCTAAGACGATTATGTATCTAAGAATTTTGAATAACTATTCTATAAGGGTGCGTTTGGTTTGCAGGAATTGAATAGAATTGGGGGGATTTGGATTTAAAATCCATTCCAATCCTGTGTTTGGTTTGTAGGATTGGTAGGATTTAAAATCCAGGGAATCATTTAAAATCCCGTGAACAATGGATTTAAGAATCCTTTGGGAAGACCAGGWTTTTKAAGAATCCATTCCCGTGGGATTTTGTTTTACCCCAACTTACCGTCTCCATCGCTTCTTCCATTTTCATCCTTCACCGTCTCACCGTCACCATCGCCTCCTCCATTTTCATCCTTCACCGTCTCCGTCGCCGTCTTGGGATTTTGTTTTGCCCTAACTTACCGTCTCCATCGCCTCTTCCATTTTCATCCTTCACCGTCTCCATCGCCTCCTTCATTTTCATCATTCACCGTCTCCATTGCCTCCTCCATCGCCGTCTCTGTCGCTTTCTCCCACGGTGGTCGTCCCATCTCCGTCGCTTTCTCCCAAGGTGCGTCACTTTTCTTCAATCCTCTCCACCATCGTCGTGGTTCTAATGCTTTTGTGGTTCTAGAAATTGATGCTTTTTCTTGATTTAGTTCTTGAAATTGATTGAAAGACGTGTTTGATTTATTCAATTTTAGCTTGAGCTTGACTGCTTCACTGTTTCACTCGATTGCTTCATTGTTTCATACATAATTTTCACTGTTTCACTTGACTGCTTCATTATTTCATACCTAATCTTCAATCCTGGTTATGATGAAAAGATCCCATATTGACATACTTTTTTAAGCTTTGTAAATGGCCAACAGAAGACAAGCTTTATAACAACTCATTTGCTTGCTCGACTTGATTTTAAGCTTTGTAAATGGCCAGTTCATTGGAATTATTCTTGATGAATTTGTTGTTAATAACTTTCAGTCAGTTTTGTTGTCCATTGAGGGGAAATTGGATGTACAGAGGGATAAATTGATGAGCTAAAAGGAGGGGTTTTAGCCAACTATGGAGTTTGACCAAGACTCTGTTCAGATTCTTGATGCATTGATGTCTCTGTATTTGAATAATCAAATCTTGAGGGCATTACAGGAGTCATTAGCAAGTGAGCTTGCTGCTATGATAAATGCAATGAGCAACACTATTGATAATGCGATTGATTTGAAGAAGACTCGAGATTGTTGCCGGAGTTGAAGCATTTTTGTAGTCTCAAATTGAATTGTATTGCTTCCTTTTATTGAACTCATGAAAACATTTTTATACTAGTATTTGAATTGGAAATTTGGAATGTTTAAATATGTATTTTGGATTAATAGCTTTGATGGTTAAATAGGTAGTTTTGAGAAATGAAAGAGATTTGATGACTAAAATAATTACAAAAGAAAAAAAAAATCTCAATCCAAATCCTACAAACCAAACACGATTATAAAGGAATGGATTTCAAATCCAATCCAAATCCTGCAAACCAAACACAGGAATGGATTTTAAATCCAATCCAATCCAAATCCCTCCTGCAAATCCAAATCCCTCAGAAACATTCCTGCAAACCAAACGCAGCCTAAGAGAATTCCAATCAGTTATCTAGACTAATTGAAAACCCAAATACGATAAACAATAAGTTCAGAAATCAAGCAAAAAGGCWTGTTCAAACATGTTTACAACGAAACCTCAAAGCAATAATAAATCAAAACCTAATTAAATCAATGTTGGAATGAACAAAATTAGCAAAACATAGCTAACTAGGTTACTGATTCTAAAGGTTTTAGGATTTACCGTAAGAATCAGGAAGATTGATAAATGCTTAAACTATTATATTTTTTATCATCAAATTACCCGGAAATTAGTGAGTTTTTCTAAAATAATACAACACTTATCTATTATTTGTGATTTGGGTCGTTTCTGTTTTAAATATATATAAACTTTAAGATCCATTATAATTATGGATTGGTTTATTATATGCAGCCCAAAATCAAAGCCCATCAGCACCAGCGGCCCAACAGCAGCAAAGAAGAAAAAAATAAAAAGAAAGAGAAGCAGCAGCTATTTTCGTGAGGAGGCAGCAGCAGAAAAAAAATAAAAAAAATAAAAACAAAACAGCAGCCCAAGCTGATGCCCAGCCCAAATCAAAAAGCGAGAGAGGCGAGAGAGGTCGTGCGGCAGCAAGAGCGGGAGATCGTGGGCGAGAACGAGAGACGTGGGCAAGAGATGGAGGTGCGATGGAGGAGGCAGTGGTTTAAGAAGGGGGTGTTCGGTCGCGAGGAGGGGGGACGGAGGAATCGAGAGGAAGCAGTCGACCGAGAGAGCGGTGGATTGAGGGCAAGGAGCAAAGGAGAAACGATTTTGGGGAAGAACATCTCACCCAATTTCACCCAATTTCTTAGGTATTTTTCTTAATTATTGCAATTGGTAATCTAGGTTTAACCATGTGTGGCTAAACCCTTTTCTTTCCAACATTAGTTCCTTAGATTTTGATTGTGGTTACTTTGAGACTCCATTGTAATCGTTTGGGATGAAATTATATGTTTGATTTCTATTTTAATGTCAATTTCATTTTGAGGATTGAGTAATCTGGCCAATTTCTTGGTGTTCTTATGAAATAGTGTTAGTCAAAAGTTGAGATACGTAATCGTCTTTACATTTTGATAAAGTAACAATTAAATCTATTTGGTTTCGTTGAGGTTTCCGAATTAGATTTTTGATATCTTGCATCCAAAGCCTCATTAAGCCGAGCTTACGAGCTTATGGCTTTGAGTTGATGTTTTTCTAGTCCTATAAAGCTAATTGCACATTTTTAGACTTGAGAGCTTATTCAACGTCTTAATTGCGATTAAGATCCGGCTAAAGAGCTTGTTTTAGCCGGTGTTTCTTAAGGAAAAACATAGGTCGTTAGAGCTTATTAACGACTATAATCAACTTGGTTTTATTCATTACATTTACGTTATTGGAATCGATGATTAGTACCACTGTCTTAATCAAAAGTGACTAATGTTGGGTTTTTATTTATTTGCTTTAAGTTGATTTTAATTATATGCTTAGCTTAATTAATCAAATCCAAACCCCCCCCCCTTCGTATTTACTTTTATTCAGTCAACTTGTACTTGATTAGTTTGGCTATAATAAGTTGAAACCGA